TGGGCTGCAGCCAAAGCAGAGGCTCTCTAAGCACCCTTCCACCCGTGCCGATGCTCCGCACCCCCTTTTTGCTGCTCAGCACCCCCATTTCAGTGCTCAGCACCCCCTTTTTGCTGCTCAGCACCCCCATTTCAGTGCTCAGCACCCCCTTTTTGCTGCTCAGCACCCCCATTTCAGTGCTCAGCAGCCCAGGTGGAGGAAGGGAGCAGGCAGCTTCTCCACGCTGTACGTCTCAGACCCAAGGGCAGAGCAGGGGTGTTTTCATAGAATCGTAGAATCGCTAAGGTTGGAAAAGACCTCCAAGATCATCAAGTCCAGCCGTCGTTTTGGGTGAAGTCAGAGCAACAAGAGGTTAATGAGCTGGCAGGAGGGTTACCAGCAGGATGGTATTTTTAAGGAAGCAGGTTTCCAGCAGGCTGGGGGGGCTGTTGGTGTGTCACCACATGGAGGGCAGCAGCCACCTGCATGGGGCCATTTGCAGCCCCTGGCATAAATTCCGACGTTCTCTGCCTGCTCCATATTCTCCTCGGACATCAGGAGTGGATGGAAATGTGGCAGCTCCAGCAGCCGGCTGCATTTCTCATTGCTCGCTGAAGCAGAGGAGAAAGACGAGGCATTGCCAAACTGAGCCCCCTTTCTTTTCCCTTCCCCTATTTCTTTTAAAACCTCCTCTAAGTCTTCTGACCCAGTTCCCTCTCCAGCGAAATCCTCCTCCTTTGGGGTCATTTACTCCATCTCTGCCTCTGAGTAGTTCCTTTCCCAGGGAAACCTCGGGGTCAGGACTTTTTCCCGTCAATCCACAGCTCCTGGGCAGCAGGATGCTGAGCGCTGCCCTTCTCTCTTGCAGGCGGGAGCTCGGCAAAGCAGACGACGTGGGAAGGAGGGCACCGGGTGCCGGCGCTGGCGTACTGGCCCGGCCGCATCCCGGCCAAGCGGACGAGCCCCGCTCTGCTCAGGTAGGAGCCTGGCCGGACCGTGTTTGGGAGCGGGGCAGCCCCTTTGCCTGCGCCTGGAAGGACCCAGCGTCCCCACGCTGGCACCCAGGTGATGACCTGGGGTTTGGCAGCAGCAGCCGCCCGCGCTGGTTATTGCCTGCCTGGTGCCAGACTCGGTACTTTTGTCCTCTCCCAAGCCCGTAAGGCTTTAATGCTTCAGCAAAGAGGAGTTGAAAGGGCTTTTTGTGAGGCTGGTGGCTTGGCCTTGGCAGCTGCCGGGCTCCGTGTGCCTCCTGGCCGTGGTGGCTGAGTGCCTCCCGATAATTAAAAGATGACGATGTTCTCTCTCTCCACCAAGAAGCAGGCTTAGGCTTTGTGGTTTGTGAATGGCTTTATGTGGAGGAGGGTGCGGTTGTGGGAAAGGCTGGCTGGAGAGATGGTGCTTTGCAATCAGCGCAGGATGCGGCCGGGCTGGGAGGTAGCGAGCGACTTTGGCCCTTTCCGCCAAGAGCGGAGGGGAAGGGCTGCTGCCTCCTCTTCCTCGCCTCGCGCTGCGCTGCGGAGGGTGGCGTGGAGGGGTCCATACTGCAGCCTTGTCACACCTCTGCCTGCAGCAACTGCACCTCTCCTTGCAGCCGTGGCACCTCTCTCTGCAGCAACTGCATCTCTCCTTGCAGCCATGGCACCTCTCTCTGCAGCAATTGCCTCTCCTTGCAGGCTTTGCAGTCCTGCCTGCAGCAATTGCCTCTCCTTGCAGCCTTTGCAGCCCTTTCTGCAGCAATTGCACCTCTCCTTGCAGCCGTGGCACCTCTCTCTGCAGCAACTGCATCTCTCCTTGCAGCCATGGCACCTCTCTCTGCAGCAATTGCCTCTCCTTGCAGGCTTTGCAGTCCTGCCTGCAGCAATTGCACCTCTCCTTGCAGCAATTGCACCTCTGCCCGCAGCAATTGCACCTCTCCTTGCAGCTGTGGCACCTCTCTCTGCAGCAATTGAACCTCTCCTTGCAGCAATTGCACCTCTCCTTGCAGCCGTGGCACCTCTGCCTGCAGCAATTGCACCTCTGCCTGCAGCAATTGCACCTCTCCTTGCAGCAATTGCACCTCTCCTTGCAGCCATTGCACCTCTCCATGCAGCCCCTTGCAGCCCTCCCTTGGAGCGGTTGCACCCCTCTTTACAGCCCTCCTTTGCAGCAAATGCAGTGCGGTAGGGTGCCCTGTCCCCTTTCGTCCCTTGAAGCACAGGATGGTGGAGGTCAGGGTGGTGGAGCTGTGGGGGGGAGGGTTGCTGGATGTTGGGAAAGCATGTCCCAGCTGCTGGAAGCAGGTCCCGACTGGTGGGCCCCCGGGGTGGCGTTGGGTGTTTCCAAGGTCCGTGAGATAAGCTGGAGCCACTTACTCCTTACGTGGCCTGAGGGCAGCGCTGGGAGCTGGTTTTTTGCAAGCGGGGGGCGGTTTGAGGCGTAAGCTGGGTCACTGATGTCTGGCGGAGGGGATGGGGTGCACGAGCACCCCTTGGGTTTCACCTCCAAACACTTCCCCTTCATGGGTGGGTGATGGCAGAGCTGCCAACCCATACCTGCTCCCGTGGCCGGGGCAGCTGGGTGCAGGATCAGAGCCTGTCCCCATCCCCCCCCCGTGCCACCAGCCTCCTCGCCCCAGGCCCAGGCATTCTGCTTATCTCCTCCAAGACCTTATCTCCTGCACTTCCCAGCTCCAGTCTAGCAGGTTGGACAGCTGGAAATACAGAAAGCCGGTGGCAGCACAGGCTGTGCCGCACACCAGGCGCTCGGGAAGCGGCTCCGTAGCTCCCCAGAAGTCACAGCACGTCCCGCGTCCTCCCCAGCACACAGGGCCATGCCCAGCTGGTGCAGGGCGATGCCCTGGCATCAGGGAGAGGCAACCCCCTGTTTTGGGAGGGTGACACAGGGAACGCAAGCAGTGGCTCATGCTCAGAAAGGTGTCACCACTGTGGTCACCACTGTGGTCCCAGCGGCAGCCTGAGCTCTTGGCCAGGGCATGCAGAGGGACAAGGAGGGATGTGGAGGGCAGGGGCTGCTCGGTGCTCACGGTCTGTCGGGGCAGGTGGCTCTTCTCTGCACCTAGAGTCACCCTCGGGGACATCCCTCAAAGGACGAGCATGTGCAATGGGGTGGTTGAAGTCTTGTCCCCCCCCTGCAGCTGATGGGGAAGAGCAAGAAGCTCGGGAGGGAATGAAACCTGTGTGCAGATGTGGCGGGGAGACCTCTGCACCCCAGGAGGGATCTCTGTCCGGTGGGATCCCCCGGGATGGGCAAGGGCTGGGCAAGGGCAAGCATTAACCTGCACCAGCCTCCTTCTGCCCCCGAGGTTACGAAAATGCTGACGGCCTTTGCCATCTGGCTGGGGAGAAAAGCCTGCCAAGGACTGCGCCTTGCCTCTCCCCGGCATCACCCAGCTCCACGTCCTCCCCGGCGCAGGGAGCGGAGAGGTGAGCCGGGGTGAGCGTGCCGGGGAAGCTGAAGCCAGCAGAGAAATAGTGATGCATCGCCGCAGACCTGCGCCTGCACGCCGGTTTTTGCAGAAAACCGCTTTGTCAGCTTTTCTTCATTACATTTAATTGTCGGAGCCACCC